TGTCCCAAAAGTCTAAAAGTAAAAGTAACATTTTGTGATCAAATCAAACCACAAGCTGGTCAGGAGGGCCAGCTGTGCTCTGCTCCCTGGACTCTGTGGAGGAGGTGAGGAACAGGAGGTGCTAGTCAAAGTCACCTCCATCATGGACAATAACTCCCACTGCACAGAGGAGGAGCTGAGGAGCTCCTTCAGTGGAAGACTGATGTCTCAGTGAAAGAAGGAGCAGGGCCCCACCACTCTCAGACTATTAATGAACAGCGGTAACTCTAAATACACAGGATTGTCGCTTTATTGTAGCACTAATAAACACACACTCATTCAACCCTCATCTATTCTACATGGTTTTAGTGGTAGGGTAAACCGGAGCACACGGAGGAAACCTACGCAGACATGGGGAGTACATGCAAACTCCACGTTATAAGGTCTGGACGTGGAATTGAACCCAGAACCACTGCACCACTGATCCCATGACTTAAGTAAGGGAATGTTTTCAGTTGCTTATCTTTAACCAGCATTGATTTTATATCACTGTCCATACTTTTATTTAGGTCATTAAGACCAGCTATAGTTCTTTTCCCACCTCTGTAAATGTGCTTCTGTGGCTCCTGCTCAGGATACGGGACAATTCTTAATTCTTAATTCTTTTCCCATCAGATTTACGTATATTTGTAGACGTGGACGTGAAGATGAGGTTTGAAAATTATGTACCCAAGCGTTAAAAGCAGATATTTCACTGAGCATTAGTAAATCAGGAGTTAAGTAGGTTTCATTTGTCCTCAGAACCTCAGATGGTCTTGAATAGTTTGACACATGAATAGTTACCGGTGTTCTGCTGTGGAGGCGCGGGCGGCAGGCGATCACCGCGATGAAGGAGAAAGTGGCCACGAGCACCGCAGCACAGGCCATGATGAAGATGAGGTGAGCGTTACCTGGACAAACACATACTGTATGATGAAGACTGTCTGAGGCGATACAAACCACTGCTGATGAAGGTACTGCTGTTGTTGCTGATGGATGTGATAAACCCAGTTACATTTGAGACAATACACGGGAGTGGGAATATCCCTCTCATGTTATTAGATTATATAAATATATCACAGTTAACTTAAATGTATATGGAAGGATTTTCCACTTTTTGAAAAATTGCACATGCTCCCAGAGGGAACGCTTATTAACACATGTGCGAGAGACGTGCACGAGCCCAGTTCTCCTCGTACACGTCTCTCTGTTTACAAGTCACTGTTGGCTTCGCTCACACACTTTCCAAGAAGAATCCAAATAGAAAATTGGACACATATCACCAGAATGATCGACAATTAAGAGGACCAATAGTATTGATGATCCACGCGGAGAGAAAATCCTCCAATATTCCTTTAATAATGTTCTTTTTTATGTCCTTTTTTGAAGTGTGTTTGGGTGTAGCTGATGCAGTCCTCGTCCCAGACATGGCTGAATTACAGGATTGTCACTGTTCACTCTGACTAAAGCGGAACTAACGTTGGAAAATGACACGTGAAAGAGTTGGACACAGTCATATTTAGGGACGAGTCTAAGCATAACCTGCTCCTGCTCACATCCAACTTAAAGAGGAGTGTTGATGCATGTGTGAATTCTTCTGATGAACTCGATATGTGTTTTAGGGGGAATGTTTTTATGCTAATTTTTATGCTATATATATATATATATATATATACATATATATATATATATGTATGTATACAGTTGTAAACCATTGACCAACATTATAACAAATAAAAGCCTAATATATCGGAGTCTGTCATAAATGAGTTTCCTGTAGTAAAACAGGGAAATGGGACTTTTGAAGGAGATTCTAATCTCCCGATATGTGGTCATAAGACTGCATAAACAACTTTGATTATTATCAAAGTAGTTATGTGATTACTACTCAGAGACGTTTGTTGATTGCTTTTCATAATGTGATGTTTGAAGAATATGGCGTGAGGGTCATGTGTTTTCTGATCGCTCCCTTCCCCTCGACAGCCTCCACTGTTCCACTCACTGTTCCTCTTGACGAACAGACTGAAGGAGGTCTGCAGTTTGCTGATGTCGTTGCGGACGCTGATGTCCAGGCAGTGCACCCCCGTGGAGGTGAAGGTGTGGTTGAGCCAGAGCGTGTTCCCGTACAGCATGGTCAGGGTGCAGCCGCCGTACGGGTCAGGGACGCAGTTGGGCAGGAAGCGCCAACACACCCACATGGGAGGACTGGAGACGCAGAGCACACGGTCATTCTGAGTTCAAAAGTGAAACCCCCAAAGCATAGAAGTGTGTGATTGTGATTCTGAATTATGAGAAAATAAAATTAAGTACCACAGCTTTAATTGGAAAAAAATTACTTGAAAATGAACAGAAATGATTCATTTGCTTCAGTAAAAGTCTGAAAGTTCAAGATTGTGTTTGTACTCAAATAAGAATGGAAAAGTAAACTGCCTTTTTGTTTATGAGTCGGTCAGAAAAATATTAGAATTATATTCGTCCATCTGCTTCTTTCTGATCATGAAATGACTGAATTGACAAAACGTGTTAATTGTTACTTGTACAATTATTCATTTTCATGAAAAGGATAAAAGAACCCAACCTAATGCGTGGATATTCTACTAACAATATAATTATTTTGAGGATTTTTGAAACTGATTTGAAACACAACACATGACCAACAAAACAGGACTTAAAACGGCAATTAATGACTTCACTTAGAAGCATGGCTAACCACTCCTGATTTTGTGTTTTCTGGTAAGTACCTAATAGTAAACTGTAATGAGTGCAAAGGACAATTTTTGGGTTTAAAAGTGAAGAGAAGTTGTCAGAAAATATGTAGTGAAATAAAGTACTGATACTAGAGAAAACTTAATATACTTAAGTACTGATACTTCACCTCTGATTGGGTAAAATATATAAAGTTTATTTGTGAATATGTTAAAGCATCAAGTGCAGACTGTAGTCACATGATCAGATCCCTTTGAAACAGACTAAGAACCTTTTTCACTTCTTGCTACTTTACTGTTCACACATTATTATTATTATTGTTATTATTATTATCATTATTGGAATTATTGCGAAAAGATTGAAGTGCGGTGACACATGAGCAGCACTGACCTTCTTTGAAATCTTTTGTCTTAAAACAAATAAACCTGAACAGTGCTCACTGCTCTGACTTAGCCTTCTTAACTAACAATTAATCGTTTGGACTTTCTGAGCCACAGTCAATTCTTCATCTTTGTTTTTTAAGAAGGAATATTAATATTGTCACACTACGATTACATAAATGTTCCCCGCTGCTCAGATCAAATCAAGTTTCTTAGAACTAGTGCGGAAAGGCCTTTTATAAAACTGTTGCATTTGCTTCTGAAGTGATCCGACCATTATGTAAGTGTGAACACGCCCTCACAAACTGAGCCCGAACATTTGTTATTCGTCTCCTTTATCAGTGACAGTTGTGGGCGTTCAGTATTTGACTCTGATGTTGTTCATCACATCAAATGTTAAATGTTAATGTTGACGCTGCTCACCTTCCATCCACATGGACCGCCACACTGCTGTTCTGAGACACTTCATAGTCTATAGGCCCCTGCAGCTCAATGTGCTTGATGGCATCTAGAACAGTTAGAATATAAATATCAATATATCCAGATAGCAGAAGGTCAGGTTTTTTTCCCGAGCGGTTTATAAAAGGACTTAGATACAGCACATACCAAGCACAGTCACGTCTGTGGAATAGACCGTCATTTGCTGCGCAGTTTGGTTTGAACTGACTCCAAGTTTAAGTCTCAATGTGTAGTTTCCAGATGCTGCATATTGATACCTCACAACGGGTTCTGTCCCCTGAATCACTTCTCTGAAATAAATAAACAAAAATTTTGTAAATATTGTGGCTCAAATGTACTGCATATGTTCTATTTACCCATTTCCCAAGTCCCATGTGTAGGAGAACTTGGCTTGAGAGTAATTTTTTTGAGGGTCACACAATTCAAACATGGTTTCGGTGGGAATATATGAAGCCAGCTCTCCGGTGTCTCTCACATAAGTTGCATTTCCATCCATTTGATAGAAGACCAGTTTTCCTGCAATATTTTCTGAATTATAAAAGTGTGCTTAGTTCATGTTTGCATTTGTTATTGATATATGATGTGAAAAATGTACATACCCAATTCTGTCAAATTATCCACAGCCTCTGCCACACCCAGCAGGAGAAAAACTGTCATCAGGGCCCAAGGAACATTTCTGCATAAAAACAATCAGGTCAACAGCAGTTCTACAAGTGTGTAGATAAAAGCAGATATTTACCTTTCCATAACTGCTTTATCACCAACAAGAAACAAACTAAAGTAGAAACAAAGTCAGACATGCACACAGAGACAGGACATGGGAGTAATAGACCATGGGAGCTTCCTATTGGTCTGTGAGAGACAGAGATGGTAAAAGGCTTGAAATTGTCACCATGCGTTTCAATCATGTGGTCAGCGCACAACAGAGAGCTCTGCTTTAATCTGGATTCACATTCCTAAATGGGACACATATAAAGATGGAAACACGCATGGAAAATGTGCTCTACTTTCAGAATACTTTTGCTTCAGAAACAGGCAGAGGAGTGTGGTACAGACGTGAGCCACAAGAGGGCGCACGTGTCCCACGCTCAGTGCGACAGGTGCCTCCTGTAGGAACAACAGCCTGTTTCAGCCTGTGCAGAGTACATGGCTATATGACAATATAAACCAATTCATTCATGCTGATGCTGTATTAGGTTTACGTTAATTTATTAAGTTATTATTATTATTATTGTCATTATTATTATTATTATTATTATTATTATTATTATTATTAGAATTAGAATTAGAATTAGAATTAGTATTATCAGTATCAATATTATTATTTATTTTAGTTTGTTACACTCGAGTCGAACAATCTTGAGGAAACTATCGTTTTGGGTTAATTGCTTACAGCTTAGGAATCTAACTTTCCAACCACTTTTTGGCCTCTGTCAGACAGAAAAGTAAAAAAACGAGGACCAGATAATCAGCTCTCGGCCCAAACAGGTCGTGATCAAAGGCCTCTTTCATAAGTATGCGAAATATAAGGTGTATAATATTTTCAGTCTATGGTGTTTTCTGATGAGATCAAACAGAGAGTGGCGGTCTGACGTGGATCTGATTTGGACTAAGTTAGGTACCCCAGCTAAATATTTGTGATATTCCTATTCTTACAATTATCATAATGATTATTATGATTATTATATATTACAATAATAATTATAATAATATGTTGCTGTTGGTGGTGGTGTTTTGAACTGCGCATTACAACCCTGGTACTTCCACATGGTGAGACAATAACAATAACACCGAAATACGGTTATCTTTTCACGGACACCTGCAGTTTACCTCTGTGTCATACTTTCCAACATGACGTGTTCAAGCATGACGTATACAACAGCCTCTTCATCCCTGGACATTGACAACATCAGCACTATTCACTCTTCCGGGGCACCTGTAACTCTGACGTCACTACACATCATTACGTCATCCCAGGCTCCACTCGTCCCTCCTCTATTATTAAACCCCTCCTCTCTCCACTTTATGGCCGCTGCTGCTCTCGGCGAAACCCACTGGACACACGCACCACTGCTGCTGCGTCTGCTGCTGCTGCTGCGTCTGCTGCTGCTGCTGCTGGAGGGGAGTCCCGCTCTGAGGTCCGCTGTCCTCATATGGTCCACATGCTCAGAGGGAGGCGGCACACGCGGAGCACGGGTGATCCGGGGAAATACTTTGAGTGAAATCACCTGGATCTTACTGAGAACACATCCATAGAGGAGTTGGATCAACATTTGCGTTTACGCTCTCTGTTTTCCTAAATTCACCTGCCAACATGTCTCGAGGTCCGGATGATGTCAGTAAGCTCACTGAAAGTACATACAAGGTGAGTGCAATCTGCCACATATGGAAAAACTTTGTCACAACTTTCTATAAATCACATTTGACATCATAACCACATCATTTAAGTGAATACAGGACAAACAGCCCCATTCCTCATTTGTCTAATGGAGCTACTAAAACTTTACAGCCTTGTTGTTTTTAGTTTTAAAATACACAATGTCCCCATGAAAGCCCAGAGCCTGTTATTTACCTGTTACAACACACATAAGTATAGTAAGTGATGTAATGTACTGATGTGAGGAAAGTTGTCCATAAGTCATGCAGAGTATTCAAACAGGCGATGTCTTTTGTTGATGTTAATCTAATCAGTGTCTTGCCTCTGTACCTCTGGGGTAGGATAAGTGAGTGAGTGATTAAAGCACCCTTAATGTCAGTTTTGAGATAAGAGAAATGAAGACGCCTCATGATTAGAACTGATTTATTCACAGAGAAACTTCATATTTTCAATGTGCATGGGTTTTCTTGTTTGTTACCAGTACCTCAAACCTGTTGCTCTTTTATTACCTTCTTTTCCTGGACCTTTTTTCAGCGCAGGCGAGTCATACCTGCGCATTGTTCCATTGAGGGCGTGCCTGGGGAATAGAGCCTGGAGTTGAACAACACTTGATTGTTGAAGCATTTCAATAGTGACAGGGAAAGAGAGAGAGGGAGCCAGAGGGGGCTGCTGGCTGGCTGGGTGGGCATGTGTGCAAATACACCAGCGTGTGTGGAAATGCTGGGACTTTGGCCTTGCTCAGGGAGTTGCTCATGTGAAAGGGTCAAGTTAAAGATTGAAAAGTTTTATTGTTTTGGTGTGGTGACATTAATAACATAATGTAAGACGGAAAAATGTCTTTATCTCCTCCACAGTCTCCACACACTCCCACAAGCAAACAACACGGCAAGAAACCCTGGCGCTGCTAATCAGTGAAGGGAATGATCTCTAGAATTATTGCGTATGAAAAGGATGAAAATAGAATATAATTACAATAGACTCTCAGTATTTTGTTTAAGACACATGGGTCAGAGTGTTTCTCAAATGACTTGTTATTTATCATTGGGGCGACAGTGGCTCAGTTGGTAGAGCCTGAAGGTTGTGGGTTCGAGCCCACCACGAGACCTTCTTCACCGACTCCCCTGATGTCATTGTGTCCTTGGGCAAGACACGTAACCCACTTTGACTATAAGGAGCGCGGAAGTGATGTTTGCTGCTTGCCTTGATGTGTGTGTGTGTGTATATGTGTGAGTGTGTGTGTGTGTGTATATGCATCAAACTGAATTTTCCCCATTGTGGAACAAATAAAGGACCTTCTTCTTCTTCTATTAGTTATGTATTAGCATTAGTTTCACCACTGAGCTTGCACTGGCTTTGCTTTTTGCTTGACTTTGAAGACATTTTTTGGTTTTGCCTGGTATTTTCTACAATTTGTCACACAGCTTTCCATTTACAACAGAAACGAGCATGTGTTCTGTGGAGAGGCGAGTTTTCTCACTGCAAGAATTCAGTTTTCTAAGCACTAAAATAAACCATAATAGTGTGTTTCAAACCCTACTGAATGACAAGCAAAGCAATAACATATCCATGGCAACAGGCCGGTAGTGGACCCCATTGGAGCCGTTGTTCAATGCACCTTAAAAAAATATTGTACATAATGTGTTGTTCTGTAGTTAACATCAGTGAGTATTTTGATCCCAACCTTTTAACGTGATCATTTTCTTGCAGAATGTTATGGAACAGTTTAACCCAGGCCTACGGAACCTGGTGAACCTTGGCAAAAGCTATGAAAAGTCTGTGACCGGTAAGAGCCATCAAAGATACAACAAAGCTCCGTTATCGAGGCCGTGTTTAAACATTTGTGTTTGTCTAGCCATGGCCATCGCTGGAAAGACCTATTTTGACGCTGTGGGTAAGATAGGAGAGACCGCCCACAAGTCTCCAGCGTCCAGAGATCTCGGTGAGTGTTTCGTCTGAATATTATGCATGTGAATATTAATTTTACACAATATACAGACATTTGCGACATGTTCTGGGACAGTTGTGGTCACCTCACTAGTGTTTCAAGGTGGTTTTTGCAGCCCACTCTTGCTTGTCCTGGTCGTCTCTCGCTCTGGGCCCAACACTGACTCATCCGCAGCTACTGCCAAAAAACAAATCTGCTCTATTTTGATTAAAAGTCAAAAAGTTTTGCTTCCAAATCACAGTTCGTTGCAGTCCGCCGTCATACGCAGGTTTTTAGACAGTCCACAGAGGCAAAAGGTGATATAAGTTACACTGCGCAATGGTTTTCTACTTATTATGAAATATCGGCAAAATGTGTGTGTGTCAACTTTTGTCCTTTTCACTCTTGGAGAAAAATGAAAAAAGCAATAAGCAGGATTTGATTAAATGTCAGAGGCAGTGTCATCCCAGTGAGACACGGGCCAAGTCAGTTCTCATTTTTATACTTTCCCTCAAATCTACAACTTTAACTGACATTGAGTTTCAAGCACAGAGAGATTCTAAAAGACTGTTTTGGAGTTTTTGTGTGAGAAAATGCTTGCCATACTTTGCTTGCTATTAGTGATTGACGAGCTGGTCTGTCTGGCCACACCTCTCATTTAGCATTGCCAGTAATTGCTTGATAACATTCTATTCGTGTTTTTATTGGGGGTATTCCTGGAAACACAAAAATGGGCTGCACATAGTATGGATTTCAGGAAAGGATTTCATTTTTTATGGTAGACTGTTTGATTGATAACAGATATTGCATTCACTGACTATTTTTATCAAAAACAATGTATTTTTGGCCACGGTATATGAATTGATTATTTCACATTTTAAGGCAGTTTTAAATGTTGTTAACTTTAGCTGATCTTGAAGATAATTCCACATGTTTGGTAAAATTCTCAGATTATTCTTTCTTTTATTTTGAAGAAAGATCTAACACCTGTGCAGAGATCTCTAGGGAATATATCTAGTATTTTTAACTTGACTATGTTCATACATCTTAATATATTGGATATGTTTTAGTATTTACCCATTTTAGTCTTCAAAAATATCAACAACATACATGGTTGGGTGTTTTTTTTTTCATACAAATTATTTCAAGTGATAAAAAATTCAGTCACAAATTGAAAGTATGATGTATTATGTAATTGTTTTGGTGTTTTATTGTAAAGAAGCACCCACTCTTAGAAAAATCCAAAACCAAATATTCAGCAGAGGACAGTCCTATACAGTATGGTCCCGGTATCCTTCTCGTCAGTATAGTGCTTGTTGGGACAACCATGGAAGGCAAAGGTTCCGTGAATAGGCTGTTCATACAGAGGAGCCTATTCTTGTACTTTCATTTTGTGAGCGCCAGAATGAATGACAGCGAGACAGTGCGAATTCTCACAACTCTGTAGTGTGCAACAGCAAACAGTCTGAACAAACAGAGGAACCTTCCCAGGCAGCGGGACCGCCTCATCCCCTGCCTCTCCATCTGCATCCCCAAACCCACTGTTTTGGTGGTGTCCATTTTGTGAAGGCCAGTACTCACAACATTTTATTCTCAATCACTATCAGAACAATGCATTAATTTCATTTTTCATTGTGCAATTTCCTTTTCAACTCCATTACTGCCCACACAGCTTGTCTCTGAGGCGATAAAAAGCTTTCTCCTCTCACAATGAATGGTATGGTGAAAAAGCTGCTTGCGTCATGCCGCCGGTTAAGGAGGAATTATACACAGTTTACCTGGAGGCTTTTAACTTTCACTTCAGGCTATGGCGCTACATGCAGAAAGCTCCATCCAACACACCCAAATACTTTCCTCACTAAAGTTATTTGAAATCACTTTTTGAAGCATTCAGTCCTCTTCAAAAACTTTGGGATGGTGAATCCATCAATTAATCACTACAAGTCGTTACCATGACAGCCAGGCCTAAAAATGACCATAATCACCGGTGACGTCCCTGGCCTTATCTGATCTGGAATCAGTCCATCATTTACACAAACACATGTATCCAGAAGTCCCCTGCGAGTCTCGGGGACAGTCCCCATAATGCAGCCTTCATGAACCTGCATGATTACCACAGAACAGCCCAAATACAATCTAAAGATAAAGGGAAAAACAATACTCCACAAAAACACACTTAAAACACAAAACGGACCTGAATGGTAGTTTCTCAGCATTGTCTGCTAATGACAGAGTGATTTCACAGGTGAGATTGGGGCCGTGATTGGATTGGAGCTTTAAGTGCATGTGGCCGTGTTTGCTGGGACAATACAGAACATGTTTATACTCTCTTTAAAGAAAAGTAGTGCTGAGTTCTCATATGGAATCCTCCTTCGCCCAATGTCCGAGAAAAACATGAATACAACAAGATAAAGACGTCGTTTCCATAACCCATTAATTTGTCAAATTAGATAACGCTTGTGAAAGCTACTTTACTTTGTATGGTGGCCTAGGGTGAACTACCTCTACCGTTGTCACATACACATCGGCAGGCCCATGTCCAATTCATTGCGGTATAAGCTTACTAAACTCACCTGAAAAATTTGGCAAATCCGTCAAATCCTAACTACATGTTTTTGTGATATGAGTAGTTTTTTTCTTTTTCTTTCTTTACATGCTCACCCTAATCTACAAAATTGTCGGTCAGGGGCAAAAGTGGTCCATTGTTCAGAGCCTGTGCCACCGGTGGCTGCTGCGGCTGATAGAGCCTATGTCACATTCAGGCAAATGTCAGGAGCAGTTTGGGAGGCAGTTCTGGGAGGCTTCCTGTGCTCCGCGGCCTCACTGGGCTCCACAGGGAGTTACCAGTGCGCTCTGAAAAGCTGCAGGTATTGAAAGAGTGAAAATGTGACCGCAGAAAGAATAGCCCCATCCCCACCCCTTCCATCGTTTCTCTACTGTGTTTGTCCAAATTGTTTTGAAAATGGTGAGGCTTGTCAGCGTGAGAAAAATGGAAATGGCAGCAAGTGAGCGTGTTCCTTTTACCGCTGTAGAATAAAGATTCATAGCACAAAGTTTCCCGTGGAGTTTGTCTCTCTGAAAACCGACTGGCCAGGGAGGGCTGATGGGTTTGTGATTTTCAAACTTTTGTATTAGTGTAGTGCTTTTTATCTGTAGACACCACCTGCTTGGACCTACTTTTTATTTAATGACATATACACAAACACCAAACCAATACAATATTGAAATTTGACTTCCAAGACTCACATTTTTCAAAAGCAGTACATTTGCAGGTGAAACTCTAAAAATGTAAATATTGGATGATATGGTTTTTATTTTGACATGGACAGTGTACAATAAACATTAGCCAGAAGGAGAGATGCATTGTACCAGGTTGTAGCAGCAGTGCTAATTTACACCTGTAGTCCATGAGCAATAATTCAATTAATATATTAATTAATATAATTCAAAAGTTCCAACAACATAAATATGATATAGACTCATTACAAGTGACATATGCCAAGCCTTTGTTGCGTATGGCTCACAGTCCAGCTTCAAAATACTCACCTTTTCTGAGACTTGGTGTTTTTACAGTTGTGAGGCATTTATCAACATTATCAAGAAATTAACGTTTGATACGTCACAAGTAATAAGTCCGTCATATGTTAGTTTCACATTGTACCGACTCATGCGCGTCATTTGTCCTAAACTTTGCACTGGTTTCCTCCTTCCACTCCTCTTCCTCTCCTCCTCCACTCCTCCTCCACTCCTCTTCCACTCCTCTTCCTCTCCTCTTCCTCTCCTCTTCCACTCCTCTTCCACTCCTCTTCCTCTCCTCTTCCTCTCCTCTTCCTCTCCTCTTCCTCTCCTCTTCCTCTCCTCCTCCACTCCTCCTCTCCTCTCCTCCTCCACTCCTACTTCCACTCCTCCTCATTCCACTCCTCCTCCATTCCACTTCCTCCTTCCTCTCCTCTTCTCTCTTCCCCTCCTCTTCCACTCCTCCTTCCTCTCTCTTCCGCTCCTCTTCCTCATCCTCCACTCCTTCTTCCACTCCTCTTCCTCTCCTCCTCCACTCCTCTTCCTCTCCTCTTCCACTCCTCTTCCTCTCCTCTTCCTCATCCCTGTGACATTGGCCTGCGCTGTCTGAAGCATTTCTAATACGGCCCCTCAGCACTTCTATAATCTATAACTGCACTTGGAACCAGGGCCAATGATAGTCCAGACAGAGTTTATTTTGCTGCTCTCATATAAAGCGGTGTCATAGTACTGAGCAAATAAAGATTTATGGGTCGTGTCCAGGCTTGTATTTTACAGTCTCTTATACATGTTGTGATGGATGGTTTGTGATAGCTGGTTATCAATTTGTGTTTTATGTAGCTTTTACAACCATTGATCATGACAGACGTAGAGAATTGTCTCCTCCTCTTGGTTTTTAACAATATCACAACTTTACTCCCTGTTTCTAGATCCATCCACGTTAATATGAGGAAGTTTGGCTAAACATCAAACTCTTCTTCTGTCTAAAAGCTCCTTCTCAGTCCTGGGATAGTATGATGTCATTGTTCCACTACGACGTCGCACTAAAAAGCGGTAAAAAGTCATAACAAGTAATACATTACTTTCTACTACATCTATCTACATTTGATAGATCGATACTTTAGGCAGAAACACATCCATCCAAGTTACTAACAATAGTAATCAGGAGACTTTAGATCAGAGCAGCAGAGGTAGGCTCTGGTGGAGCAGGATGTAAAAAGTGTTGCTTTAATCAGAAACAAAATAAATAGCGTAAGAGGTTGCGTCGGCCTTTTTGAGTCCTATCAACTTCAGCTCTTTTTTAAGTAATAAAGAATATTAAATTAAATTTGACAGAATGTAAAACTATTACTTTGAAGTGATTGATTTACTTAAAATGTGTTTCATTTCAAAGCAAAACTAACTTGGAGATGATCAATTTACTCAATATTTTTGTGTTTGTTCAAAGTGTAACTTTCCCAAAGGAGGAAGTTTGTTAGATCTCGTAATCATTATATTGT